TAGATTGGAAGGATAATTTTATTCCATTGTGCCTTGTTTATTCTTAGTACAACTTGTGTGGATTGTTTTTAGGGTAATGTCAGGGTAATTGTTCAGAATTGAGCTACAGGCCAGCCCAAGAACCCTCTCCTGGGAATAGCTTGGCTCAAACATACAAAAAGAGTTCTCGTCTCGTCTCAGAAGTATTTCTTCTTAAACGTAAAGATATATGGGCAAAGGTTTTAGACAATATGAAAATAGCAATAAATAAGTCAGTGGCAGTTTTGTGTGCTTTTAGTGTCTAGTTAGATGGCAAAGGATCATGCCCTTTGGCTCTTTCTCCCTGCGTTATTTTATGATGGGATGGTGCAGAAATAAAGTGTTTCACTTATACTGGGAGGGTGCATTCTTATCGTGGCCCCCTCTTATCTTGGCCATGACACAGTATAAAATACTGATAAACAGGGCCATCAGTGTTTTCACGAGCCTTTATTCACCTAAAATAATAAACTCTCTAAGTAATATATTCTTATTGCAGAAACCTTAAAAGTATATTTATGCACCACTCAAAACAGAGCCAGGCACAGATCCTCACGTGTGTAGTCTTAGCTACTCTGGAGGCTGAGGCAGGAGGGGCTCACGACCCCACAAGTTCACAGCCAGCCCGAAGAGTACAGTGAGACCTGTCTCAAATGTTAGAAAGGAAATTATGTCATAGCCAGCCTCACCGTGGGACTCACACCTCCCCTCGCCTGCTACCGGTTACACACACTCTCCAGACTTCTGCGTAGATATCCACCCATCGTGTCTGCAGTCACGGCTGCCCACTTCTGCTATTGCCCTGGCGGCAGAAGCATCGGGATTCAGGCAGCAGCGGGAGCAGAGTTAGTACCTGGCATCACCCTGACGGTGCTTATAATAGAGTGAGAAGGCGTGTAAATGAGAAACCAGCCAACAGTTGTAATGCATCTGTTCTTTGTACTGGCGGCTGATCTCGGTGCTCTTCGTTAATTATGTTAATCAACCCTAGGATAATCTAAAGAACCTCAGCTGTCATTCCAAGCTATCTGTCTTCGCCTGCATATTCAGGTTCCAACAACTGCAGATGCAAATGGTTTTAACTGCATCTTTACAGAGCACACACGGGTTGTTTGGTTGTTCTTTAGTGATACAGCCCAACAACTATGTCCAGAAAGCTTACGTCACATTAGGTGTAGTAGGCCTAATCCCCGAGGGATTGAAAGACAGAGAAGGTTCCATGACACCCTCACGCCATTTGTAGTAGGGTCTCTGGCAGGTGCAGATTTTTATGTCTGTGGGAGATACTGGGACCAATTCCTCGTGGATTCTGAGGGTCAGCTGTAGCTCTAAAGAGCTGTCTCCTCACTCTGTAGAGGAGAAATCTAATTTCTAATCAGAATTTGTGGCTCTAAGCAGGAATTCAATTTGAACCTCAGGCGGTCACACCCAGAGTCTGCCCTTATGCTGTTGCCAAGCTTTGTACATTCTGAAATACAATGTGGAGAATGTTCTGTAATTTATACATACTTATAAATGAAGTATGAAAATCATTCAGAACTGGGAATAACGGAAAATCATACCATGTAACTTTCAAAAAAGCACCTCTCACAAAAACATAGTCATCTTTAACTAGTCTCAAACTGTCCAAGAAAGTTTATTTTGCAAACCATTTTTGCTTTCCTATTTAATGAGTCCACAACAATCTGAGTGTGTTTCTTTGTCCAGTTGCCTAATTTTAGGGTATCCCTCTGTGTGAATCATAAAAACAAAAATAAGGTACAAATCAATTAAGCTACTTCATACACTATAATTCTGTTCATAAAATGACATATATGTGACATATATATGACATATATGCACATAGAATGACAATGTGTGCAATGAATATTTTTAAATGAATGAATAAGGCAACAGGGACTAAAATTTCAGAATCTAATCCACCCTGAAAGCAAACAGAAGTGGATTAGGCCAGCATATACCACTTTAGGAATACCAACTTTTTTTTCTTTGTTTTTCTTTTTTTTTTAGTTTATTTTTTTAATTTTTTTATAATTAAAAAATTTCCGCCTTCTCCCTACCTCCCATTTCCCTCCCCTCACTCCACTCCCCCTCCCTCTCCAGTCCAAAAAGCAGTCAGGGTTCCCTGCCCTGTGGGAAGTCCAAGGTCCTCCCCCCTCCCTCCAGGTCCAGGAAGGTGCGCAATCAAACAGACTAGGCTCCCACAAAGCCAGTACATGCAGTAGGATCAAAACCCAGTGCCATTGTCCTTGGCTTCTCAGACAGCCCTCATTGTCCGCCATGTTCAGAGAGTCCGGGTTGATCACATGCTCCATCACTCCCTGTCCAGCTGACCTTGGTGAGCTCCCATTAGATCAGTCCCACCATCTCAGTGGGTGGACGCTCCCCTCGCGGTCCTGACTTCCTTGCTCACGTTCTCCCTCCTTCTGCTCCTCATTTGGGCCTTGGGAGCTAAGTCCAGTGCTCCAATGTGGGTCTCTGTCTCTATCTCCATCCATTGCCAGATGAAGGTTCCATGGTGATATGCAAGATATTCATCAGTGTGGCTATAGGACAAGGCCCCTTCAGGAATACCAACTTTTTAATCACAAGTTTTCTCTCCTATGCACAGTTTAGCTCCACCCTTACAACCAGCAAGATGCGGAAGGGGGGAAGTATTGAGGGCCATGAAGGATGAACACAAACACGGCATAATGACATATATGTAGAAAAGGTCATAATGAGGTGCATTGTTTTGTTCATTAACTAAAAGACATAATTTTTAAGAATCTTTTAACACATGGTTATAGCAGCTAAATAGATAAGAACAAATATAAATAAACAAAAAAGCAAATATTGACACTTTGGTTCTTTTATCTCAGATAATCACATACATTCCAAAGTTTATTTTCCAAGTCATAGTAGCCACATTTACTGTATATTTTAATTTACTGTATAATCCACTTTTCAGAGCAAAGAACAAAAGCAAAAGCTAAAAATCACTGTAGTACATCAGTAAAGTTTGGGGGGGGGGGGTTATTGTTGTTTTTAAGACAAGGAAATGATGAGTCTTTCAAAATGAGTGACACTCGCATATATTAGTTTCTTTCTTTTTTATAGTTTTCCAACTGCCAAAAATAGGAGAGCCTGAAAGAAAATCGATCTATTTTACATGTAAAAAAGGTTTAGAAAAATTGCTCTCAAAAGTTATCTCACGCGTTATCTGCTCGGGCCTTGGGACTGAGGTCTTGCTGATAGGGCTTGATTAAATTTCCACATCTCTTATCTGTAGTTTATTCTTGTTACCACAGTCGCTGCTGGTTTTTAACTTGGATACAGGAAGCCAGTGCCAATCCATTTTGTTCCCAAGGTGACAGGAAGCCTTGGTTGGTCAGATGTTGATCTGGTTTACTGTTCCCGCCCCACCCGTCATACCTTTTCCCTTTTGGCTGAACTTAAGACAAATGAATCAGTGGTTGACATCTGGCAGACAGCTTCAGTGTCGTCTCAGTGGTGGTTTGTTGACTCGGAGAACAAAAAGCGTGAAGAAATCAGTGCAGAAAACTTGCAGACACTGACTTAAATGTGGCTAAGGCCCTTTCCCCAGTCCTGCACAGGAGGCTCCCCATTTGGCTTTTTGATTGACAGTGTGAATCTTCCTGATCAATGACATATTTATGGAATCAACATTTCACCTTCTTTAGGATGGTGAGTGGCTTACCTCACCCTACTGTAAATTCCAGATTTGAAATGGGAAACGGAGGCCAGGAAAGCACTCAAAGAATGCTAAGCTTTTAAACAGGTCTCTGGTGTTTATGAACTTAGCTGCCTGAGGAGTCTCTTCCTGTGAATCCCAGTCCCCTGAAAAATACCTCTTACCACCAAATGCTCGAACAGAACATGTTGGTATTCAGAACATAACAAATAAAGCAGCTCACAATGTTAAGGGTGTGCAAAATCAAGCGAGCTGACCTTCCCAACCCTGGAACCAAGTGTTTCTAGAGTCTCCCTTTTGGACTCTACCAAATCTAAAGCTACAAGCTCTCAGCAGCCTCACAGCCGCGTGTGTCAGAAAGTATCGGTTTTAAAGATAATGATGCTGAAATGCAGGTCTAATCTTATGATGGAGATTATGAGAAATGTCTGTCTAAGATGAAGGAAGGTGAGATCAAGATAAACCTAAAAAGGGCAGGTATGTTGGACCGGATGGGCCTTTCCTGTCCCTAAAATGCCTTGTGCTCTTAAACAGGAAATGTATTCTTATTCACCCGAGGCCAGTGTCAAGCCTCGGCACAAGATTGCAAAGGATCCTGGGTAGTGCCAGTGAAAAGACAGGAAAGTGACCAGAGAGGGAAATGTCCTTGGTGGTTGCTACACCGGGCAAATTTTCCAAAGGCAACAGAAAGTTCCTTGCTTATTCACCCATGTCTCCCATATTTGGGGAACAGACTCTCAGTTCGCTCCGATTTCTCAGTACTTTCCACACCCGAATTTGGAGGCATTTAACCCTGGCGCTGACTCAAGCTATGGGAGTCACTGGGGAATGGGTATACTTGCCCTTCGCTGAAGGGTTCTGTCTTGAGGACCCTGCCGGGGCAGCAGTCGTGCGAAGGCCCCCACAGCTTCTCTGCCTAGATGTGTTAATCCGGAGGACGCTGAGCTGTCTTTCTGTTTCCATTGCCTCGTTGTATGGGAATAAACTCCCCAGATAAGTGAAATAAATGCTAGCTACCTGGGAAAACCTCGAGACGTACTGAACTCTGAAAAGCTGTAACCCTACTGATGGGAAAACCCACAGAGACAGCTGAGCCTCGTTCGTGGGAACTCATGGACTCTAGACCAACAGTTAGGGAGCCTGCATGGTACCAAACTAGGCCCTCTGCATGTGGGCAACAGCTGGGTAGCTTGGTCTGTTTGAGGGGCCCCTGGCAGTGGGGCCAGGATTTATCCCTGGGGCAAGAACTGGCTTTTTGGAGCCCATTCCCTATGGTGGGATGCCTTGCTCAGCCTTGATGCAAGGGGGAGGGCCTTGACCCTACCTCAACTTAATGTGCCAGACTTTACCCTTTTGGAGGACTAGAATGGGGGGCAAGTAGGTTGGAGAGTGAGATGGCAGGGAGCAGGAAAAGCGGAGGGAGAACTGTGGTAGATATGTAAAATTAATAACAAAAAATTAAAAGAAAACACGGAAGGCTGCTAGAAATTTAAAGTGTGCTCTACACTCATGTAAGTTCCTCTTCTGGTTTGTGCGAGAATCTATTTGAATAAGAGCGAGCTGCCTTGAACCTGCTCTTTTGCACCCACTCTTCCAACCACCACGGAGGGGAGCATGCTCAAGAGAGTGGTATACCAGTTAGCCGTTCACAACCATAGTGCCCCAAGTGAGATGCCACACCCCATGGTTGTTAGGTCTTCTTGGCCAGCAATTTCTTACTGTATGACATTACCCAATTGGCAGACCAAAGCTGTCCCATCGATCCCCTTTCAAACCTCTAAAGGTGAGACTCTTTGGAGGCTTGATAGAGGTTACCAAGCATAAGTAGAAGATTGTGTATGTTAGCCAAGCTATAGAGACAATATGTGTGATAGATTTCTTTCAGGAAATGTGTTATAGCTGGTGATTTTTTAAAATATGTTTATGTAAAATATACTCTTTTTTAAAAAAATTGAATTTCTCTTGGTGTGCTTAGAATAGAAAGCATTATTGCTTGGCAGCTTCGCTATAGATACAAATGCTGTCCAGTGACTTCCCAAAACTGACCTTTGACCTTCAAATAGTCAAGTTGTTTGGGGTTGACAAGGGTACAAGGATATACAGTCGTTTATTGAGCATATTCCAATGTAGAAGAGCATCTCAAGGCCTAGCCTTAGCACAATGCGGAGAATATGGCCAGAACTAAAAATAAATAAATAAATAGTAGCTACTGCTCTGGGTGCAGAGGGAAAAGCTAGAAAACTCTTGCATGCTTGTCTCTGTGTGCAATATACATACCGTTCCGTCTTACGCATCTACAGCAGATAGATTTTTCTTCTCATCTTCCCAGCGAGGAAACTGAGACAGAAGCATCCAAGACAAGGTCCGGGGCCCTAGAGACATAGGAGCAGAGAAGCCAGTTGAGTGACACCGGAACTCACAACTTTTCCCTATTTTTCCGCCTCCTCTGATGCCCAAAGTACCGCATAATCCTGATTGCTCCTCGTCGCTATTCTTTCGGCGGCGAAACAGAAGCCATCTGAAATAAAATAATACTTGCTTTTAGCCAAAGACACGGAGGAGCTTGACCGGAGCCGTGGTCTGTGTTGCCTTCCACCTACAGGTGGCGCCAGCGAGCCACACAGCCAGCAGGAGACCTGGGTCAGCTCTTTCTTCCACCTTTTGTTTTAAAGAACGTTGAAGCAGCTGTTTTTCTGTCCTGAAAAATTCTGCCTAAGACATTTGTAGCCCCTCTAAGATTTAAAGCCAAATCAAATAAACAAGGATCAAGGGCCCTGTCAGGATCCCAAGTCTGGAAAAGAGCCACTGAAAAGTTCTCTTCCCATGTGTCCCTACTTGTCACTCTGCACTGATTTAGACCCAGATGCACAGAGCAGGGCTTCCTACTAAAGCCTGCAGCCCCAAGACTGGCGTTTGACATCCCTGGTGGGGATTCCATTTGTTCCTTAGCGCTGGTCACGACGTGTGTTCAATGTGGTGTTTGCACGCCTTGGAGTTTTACCTCTTCCTCTCAGGACAGAACGATATGCCCTTTAGTCGGGGGTGGGGAGGAGCTGTAGATTCCATTAGAACTCAAACCGAGAACTTTCTCCACGACGGACAACTGCATTGGAGAAAGAAGGTCCAGGAAAAGATGCAGCCCCGCACCCCAGGACTTCGCACGGGTGAACCCTGGATTCCAGTAATGCGGAGGCCTTATCGAGGACAGCCTGGGGCAAATTGGCAGTACATTAGAAAACCTGATTAGGAGGGGGAAGGCGACCTGGGCCTCACATCAGCTGTTTTCCTCCACAGGATACTGGGTGATTCCTGTCCTGGCCAGATACTGAATACTAAAAGCTCAGCCCAAGAGTTCTTGTCAAAAATGGTTTCCGTAGCGTATTTTGACTTGCTTAGGTCTGAAGAACTTTTGGAATTTGTTAGGTGTGGGCCTGAACTCCAGGAACTGGCCTGTGCCATTCGCTTAATGAGCTCTGTCCCCTTGGACAGATTGTCCTAAGCACTGCATTCTGTTTTGGTTTATTTTTATCGAGTTCACACTTCTCTGGATGTCCTCATCTGACACGGGGATTATTGGTAGAACATGTATGTGTTGATAATTCAGACACACAGAGGCAAAAATAAAAAAGTTCAGAAGTCGAATTTTCTGCCATATTTAAAATATATGCAAACTGCTATGAATATGTTCAACCTACAGATATATTCCTCATATTATTATTACAAAACTTTTGGGATTTGCCAGCAGTTCATCCCATATATAATACAGAAAAACCCTAAGCTTTTAGATCGCCAAAGACCATTGTTAAAGTATGTACATCATTTACTTCACATAAAACAATAAATTAATAACACCCAACTTCGTAAAACATTTGATAAAATAGTCAACACAGTAATAAGGCCCCAAAGGTGCCTTTATATATAAAGCAGTAGGTGGTAAAGAATCTTTTGTTTTACTTTTAATATGTGCGAGTGCACTTGCTAGATCCCTTCCCGGAGAGTGACCTTTCAGGCAGCTGTGAGCCTGGGCCACCTGATGCTCACGCTGGGAACTGGACTTGGGTCCTCTGCAAAAACAGTATGTGCTTTTAACCTCTGAGCCCTTTCTCTAACTTCAAGGAGGATTTTAAAATCTTCCTTCGATGTATTAATTTCATCACTAAGGTTTTAGACCACTTCGTGGTTTTGGATGTTCAATATCGAGAACTAATTCTTCTCTTGTTCGCTGCTGGTGGGATTGTAACCTAGTACAGCTAGTATGGAAAGAGTGTGGAGGCTTCTCGAAAAATTAAAAATAGAAATTAGTGTTTGACCAATGATACTACTCCTGGGCATATTTCCAAAGGTCTTCGTATCGTGACTTCACAGCCCACCGTGTAGATATTTGCCTATCCTGCCTACTGATGCCTAGCCATCATAACACAGAAATGGATGCAGTGTGGGTGTCCATCAGCAGGTGACTGGATATAAAAATGTGGCCCATGTGCACAGTGGAGTTTACTCAGCTGTAAAGAAACTGAAGTTTCCAGGGAAGAGGAAGGCCTGGAAAGCGATACAGTAACCTCGGTGACTGAGACACTCAGAAGGAAGCTGTGTGGTGGCCCACACCTCCAATCCCAGCCCTCAGGAGGCAGAGGCAAGTGAATCTCTGTCGGTTCGAGTCCAGCCTGATCTACATTGTGAGTTCCAGGACAGTGAGAGGCTGTCTCAAAAAAGCAAAAGGAGAGATAAGGAAAGAAACTCAGAAAGACAAAACTTCGTGATTGCCAGGTGCATGTCCAGAGGGCAGAATGATATGTCTTTCATGTTAGACATGAATGTTATTTTAAAAGATCTCTCAGGACCAGGATTGTGGTCCGACTCTGCCTCAGCATCCCAGGGGCTTACTGTCATGAATGTCCAAGGCAATTGTAAGACACCTCTATTTTCCTTTCCTCACACCTCTGGATAATCGAGGCCATCACTCAGTGGGATATTTGGATTCCAGGGGTTATACGGAACAAATAGTTGGTAAAGGGAAAAAAATTTCATTTCTTTTTCTTTTCTTATTTCAAATTTTGTAAAAACTGTCATGACTTTTGTAATATTTAAGTAAAACAATCCATGTTGTAATTTACATGTGAATGAAGCTCAGTGGAGATATACTTAATTTTAATTTTTTCTCAATTTTACTGATAAGGTAGACAATATAAAAGGTGAAAATTATTAGAAATTTTACCTGAAACTTGAAGATTAATTTATAATACAGATATAACAGGGTAACACATAGTCTTTTCTACCATGTCTCTGATGCCAGTATTTTAAAAGCTGTTTTCTATCATAATGATTAGAAATTGATAAAAAGACAATAAAGGGGAATAGAAGTTACATTTTATATGTATTAAATAATAAAGAAAATTAATTTTGCCATAGTGGATAAAAAGGAAAACTTATATTCCTAGGTATATATCTATGTGGCTAAACAAACTTATACAGTACAAGAAAGCCAACTATAGCATTGTAATCATGAAAGGAACTGGAAATAAATAACTAAGAGTAGACATTTATCATTAAATAAATAATTATTTATAAATCTATATTCTGCTTTAATAAGGAGTTTTTTATATATATAATGCAAGGTAGGGAAAGAACACAAAACCAAGATCTGGGCTACATTATCTCTGTATTATATTATATTATATTATATTATATTATATTATATTATATTATATTTTCAGAGATGGTCATCACTGAAGTGAAAGCAATTAAAGCCTCGGGGCAATGTGCTGCAAGGACCAGAGTTAGAAAAGAGCCAAGGATGTAGCCCAATAGCAGGGCACCTGCTTAGCATGTGTGGGGTCCTGGGTTTGACCCCAGCTCTGGAAAACAAATGTTTTCAGATTTTATTGTAAGAGTGTGTTCATTTTGTACTGAATTTAAATTAATATTTTCTAGGTTAAACCTAGAAATATAGCATTGTTTCCTTTGAATTAAAGACTTTATGTCACTGATGTCTTCGTAAAGGACAGTGATGAGCCGGATCATCAGCTATGTTATATGGATGATAACATAGGAAGATACAGTTTTCAGACCAAGAAGAGATCGTTGGTACCTAGTTCACAGTGACTAGTCTGCTACAATAGTCCCTCATTCCTGTGATATGGTCCAAAAATATTCAACTGAAAATCCAGAAATCAGCCAGGTGACTCGTGCCTATAGCCCATCACTTGGGAGGTTGTAGCAAGAGTTTTGCCGCAAGTGCAAAGCCAGCCTGGGCTACACTTGAGACCTTGTCTCAGAAAATCTAGGCCAGCTGGATGGCTCATCAGGTAAATGTACTGGCTACCAAGCCTGCCAACCTGAGATCAATTCCTAGAATCCTCATAGAAGGAAATAACCAATTCCGTTGTCTACAAAGTTCATACTTGAGAACTATGCAGTTGAGTTACAAAAACAAACTGCCAAACAAGGCCTCATAATGTCTTTATGAATTGTGATTGCATGCAGGACTACATTCAAAGATAATCTTCATCACATAAAGTCAGGAGACCAGCGCTTGGACACCCTGGAGGCTTTGTGACTAAACCACAGAATGATTTCTCAGGCAAGACACCAGACCTTATACTAGAAGGTTTCCAAAGAAATCAAACAAACCATAAAGACGCACTAAAAGGAACTGTTCACATCACAGAGGAGACTGGAAGTCCCCGTGTCTTCCGGGTGACTCAGTAACCTGGCTACTAAAGGAAGTCAATGGTGTGGTTCTAGTCTGAGGGCCAGCAGACTTGGAATACAGAAAAAGTTTAGATTGAATCTCGATACAGGTAAAAGACTAGCAAACCCGAATTACCCACTTTGACTTGGGGGAAGATGGGGTAAGCCCTTTTCTTTGGTCCAGTCTGACAAAACCAGTAGGTACAAGGCCTACCACACTATAAAGGACAATTTGCTTTGTTAAATATACTACTTTAATATTGATTTCGTCCAAACATTTTCTTCAAAACATTCCCTATGTCTAACAAAAGTGACTAAACATCCCATGTCTCAGTCAGGCTGACACATAAAATTATTAGCCATCACAGAAAACTAAAATCATAATTGAGGTAGAGGAAAATAACTGTAAATCATATGTGTGATAAAGATCTATCATCCACCATATGTAAAGATCTTTACTACTGAAAAAGAAGGCAAACAAGTTAAAATTAAGCAAAAATTGGAACAGGCATTTCTTTACAGAAGAAAAACAAATGACTGATAAATGCAAAAAAATCAGTATCATCAATTTTAGGGAAATGCAGTTTGAAGCCCAATGAAATTCCACTTCTTTACTATGATTTCTGTAATTAAAAAAAATAGTATGTATTGTAAAGTGGCAAGAATGTGGAGAAATTAGAAGCTTAATATGTTGCTGCTGGAAATGGGAAATGGTCTACCCACTTGGGAAAAACCTTTGCTAGTGCTTCCGAAAGGGAAATAAAAACTGGTGGTATAGCTCGGCAGTAGGGGACTCACCTAGCTTGCCCGAAGTGCTGGGTTCCGTCTCCAGAACCAAAAAGAAAAAGCCATAGAGTTATTGGAGGGTACAGCAATTCTGCTGCTGACGTATATTCAGAAGGAATAAATGTACGCTGTGAAAATTTACATCCAAATATAGTAGAACAAATTTTTAAGTATTAAAAAAGGAAACAGCCCAAATGTCCGTCAACTAAAACCCAGATAAACCCAGCAAAATATTCATTTAATATATATATATAAAATACGTATTTTCATTTAATGGAATCAATTGTTCCATGGGAAGGAATGGAGAACTTCCAAGGGTTGCAACATGAAGGAAGGTGAATGGCATCAGGCCGAGTAAAAAGAAGTCTGGCGAACTGCCAGCCATATAAGTCCATGTACATGAAAGGGCCCAAAGGTGTGAACACAGGGGATGTAGCTTACGGGCAGAGTGTTTGCCTGGCAGTGCGAGGCCCTAGGGTTCAAGCCCCATTACTACCAAATGAGAGAATCAGTGGTGTCTAAGGCCTCTGTAGAGGGAGCCATGGGATGGAGAGGCAGTTTCCTTTGAGGGTGGGGAAAATGTTTTAAAATTTGTTGTGCTGTTTTTTTGTTCGTTTGTTTTTGTTTGTTTTGGGCTCTTCTGGAACTCACTGCATAGACCTCGCTGACCTCAAACTCACAGTGCTTAGATTAAAGGTGATTGCCACCATACCTGGACTTT